CCACAATACTGAGTTCAGGTAACAACCGCCCTTTATCTGTGCTCCGAGATGTTAAACGCATGTCTGTTGTGTGGGACCAGGAAGCTGGAAGGTACGTGTCCGTCCCTGTGACCGCCGCAGATGGCATTAGTAAAAGACCGCCCGTATTACCAAACGCGAAAGCGGGCGGTTCGGGTAGCAGCAGCAACGAGAGTTGCCAGCCCATCACCCTCCCCCGGGCCCAGCTGCAGTCTGAGACGACAGCAATTTACACGGGTGGCGGGGATTCGATATTTTTTGGGGGCCCACAGCTGGCTTTGGGCCGGGAATGTAGGTTGAAACGAGGCGGTGGGTCCCACCAGCTCCCCGTGTTTGTTCCCGGGGAGTCGGCAGCGGCCGCGACACAGAAGTAGTGCTTTACAAATTGGAATGAAGGAGTTAGTTGTCTTGTAAGATGGAAGAAACCTTTGAGAGGAGGAAACATCTGTACTGCCCTCCAGGAACCTGCAGAGCCTATATATATATATTGTCTGCCAGGCTGAGGTTCCAGTGGTTTCTTTTCTTCTTCAATCAACATTGCTATTTGACTGCAGCAACTGAATTGTTTCATTTATATAAATGACACAATGTTGTAGAAGAAAATGCTTTGACTGAAGTTGTTGAAATACTTATATTGAAATTGGCTTCTTTTCTTTTTTTTTAAAAGAAAATATTCACACCAATATTCTTAGAATTGCACGATTTTACAGAAACACTCCATGATATACACAAATTAGCTTCTAGAATTTTCATATGTTTACGTCGATACTCCAAGAGTTTATATACTCTATATGTTTATGTCTGTGCGGTCTATATGTTAGGACACCGTTTTAAACAGATGTTAATGTTAGAGAACTGATATAAATATATGAAAATTCTAAGAACATCAATGTATTTTATTGAATATCGGAATAGTTATGTAAAATCACGTAATTCTAGAAGTTATGGTGTGAATTTTTTAACTAAGTGTTTGGAAACTAAATCGTTCATTTACGGCTTTAGATTTTGATTCTAAAATTTGAATCTTGGATATCAAATTACAAGGGGGAGTTTATGATTTATAATTAAGTTTTGTTAGAAATTATAAAGTTTTTACTCAATTATGATGAAATTTAAAAGTCAAATCTATAATTGCAAACACACCATAAAAAATAAGTCCTTTTTTTCGAGATTTATCAAATGGACCATACGTTAAAAATTCATTACTTGTTAAAAATCACTACTTATATAATAGTGCAAGTCAAAGATCTACCAAACTATTGCACAATCGCCACACATTTTTTGAGGGGCTTACGGCGGGGTTGTGGTGGGGGTGCAGGGGCGGGATAGGGTGGGGGGTTTAGGGGGTGAGTAGGGGTTAGGAACTGTCAATTTTACGAACGGAGCACTGAAAGTGCCCCAAAATGGCAGTGGCAACTGGCACGTTAGTGTCACCATACTCCGGTGTCATTAGAACCTCACTTTATATATCCAAATTTATAACATGCAACTTCAAACACGGACAGAGATGATTTTTTATATCCAAAATTAAAATTTTCTTATATATTTATTTTGATGATGATCATTCAATTGAATGACTTTTTAACACTTTAATTCTTTCAATATTTTTTAATTTCTTCTAATTTTTCTAATTCCGTTTAGTTTTTTTCAACATCACATTCAGAAATTTTAACACTAAAGAATAGGACTTTAGAGGCTATTTTGTTTTCGGCCCGGTTCCATGGCCACTGGATTCCAGTGGCCACGGAAGCCACTGCCCCCCTACGGAGATCCGTTCATAAAATTGATGTTTCCTACCCCTTAACCCCCCGGTAACCCCCCCCCCCCCCCCCCGCCAAGTCCCAACCCAAACTCATCCCCCTACATACGTCAATTGCACCTCGTAAGCATAATTGACTTTAAAGTCGAAAGTTTTGACTTTATGCTTACGAGGTGCAATTGACGTAGGTGGGAGGATGAGTTTGGGTCGGGATTTGGCAGGGATTAGGGGGTAGGAATCATCAATTTTATGAACGGAGCTCCGTAGGAGGGCAGTGACTTCCGTGGATTCCAGTGGCCAGGGAACCGGGCGGGTTTGTTTTATTGGGCACATCTCCAATCTCTTGTAAAATGAAGAAGCAAGCTTCTATCTCACGCTCTTAAACATTGTATTCTAAAAGCAGAAAGTAAGAAGTCCATTTATTTTGTGGGAATCCATATTTCTATTTAATTATTTATCGCAACAAATCCAATATGATGTTTTATTAGACTGCATCCAAGGTGCCATCCTTCTTCCGCCGGCGGCTAACATGGCCGGCGTCCTTCAAGCTTGCCGCGTTGATGGCGGCGTTCGTCGTCCCCGCCTCCGTAGATCATCCGTCCGGACCGACGCATCCTTTGCCCATTTTTTCATGTTTGAAAGCACTTTTTTTTGGTTTACTATTTTGTTTAGTTTTACTTTTATTATTTATTTTTATTTGTTTAAAAAAAATCTTACATAAAAAGAATTAAATAATTAAATACAAATAAAAAATAATGGTGATGTGTGAAAATTTTAAAATATTTTCTAAATTTTACAACAAATACTACGTATTTTTTATCTTTTTCTAATCGTAACGGCCATTTTTTCTCTTTTTCTAATGGCTTGTTTTTTAAATACATAACTATTTTTTGTCTATTCCTAGTGACTAGTTTTTAAACATATAACAGCCATTTGTCTTTTCCTAACTGCTAGTTTTCAAACATATAATGGTTATTCAAACCGAACTGTACCGAACCAAACGGTCGGTCCGGTCTTTGGGAACGGTACGAGGTTACTTCTCATATCGAAATTTCCAAACCAAACATATATACTACTTCCTCCGTTCTATAAAAGTGTTCCTATTTTGACTTTGTGTAAAAATAAGAAAGTGTTAAATTGTAGTAGTTGACTTCCAATTTTGCCCTTGATGTGATGGGTAAAAGTAAAATGTGATGGATTGAGTATTAGAGAAAAAGTATGATGTGATAGGTAGGGTATGAAAAAGTAAAGGTAAAAGTGGTTTTTTAATAGAAAATGAAAAAAATGAAAGAGGAAGAGTTTAAGAACGGAGGGAGTAATATATTATAAAAATAATAATCTTTTTATATTTTTTACTTTGTTTTCACTCGTTCTCTTTAGTTTTTTATTTTTTCATTTTTAAATTTTTTATCTTCCTTTGGTTAAATGTACTTTCAATTTTCCAAAAATAAAAGGTTTTGTTACTTTTTATGATGTAAACTAGGTACGTATATATTCATCCTAATTCATACCGAAACCGGTACCGAACCATACTGAACCAATGGTTTGGGATCGAGATCGGTACAATACCGTACCATACCGTGCCACGCTCCCCTAGCTTACACAATAGCTTCAAATTGTACTTTCCGATGATTTGGAAGATTTTGCCATGCAATTGTTTGGGCTTGGTACTCATGAAGTGCCAAATTCTTCCCAACGAAAGAAGAAACTGAGAGGAGTAGATAGATAAGGATGGTTATACACGTTTGTGGAAGGATTACTTTGCTCCAAGTCAAATGTACAATGAGAGGTTTTTAGACAATGATTCAAGATTGAGCATAGGACTTCTCAATTGGAGTGGCAGATATATCTAAGCCAGGTAAATTGAGTAATTGGTTTAGGGTGTTTTTATTTATTTTAATGCAATTTTTAATTTGGAATGGTACCTACTTTTAATATTTGTAATGCAATTTAGTTTTCTGTTTATTTATTTATATGTTCATATAAAAAGTCCGACATTTTCTCCTTTAGTGTCCAAGTTTATAATTTTCATACACTTAACTAAGACAATATTTTTTTAGGTTGAAATTTTAAAGCTAGACTATGAAAAAACCTAGAACAAGTTTAAAAAAATTGAAAGAAATTAGAAAATATTAAAAGTACCAAACTCAAATTACCCAAAAATACCAATATTACCAAACCAAAAAATGCCAAATCAATAAAATGTACTTTCAATTTTTTATCTTTCTTTATTTGACATATACTTTCAATTTTTTTTAAATAAGGTTTTGTACATTTTTATAATGTAAACTAAGTCTCACATGATATATTAGATAATGATACCAAATCTATTAAGATTAGATCCAGCCATGTGAGTTACATCTTCAGAAAAAATCAAATCAAGGAAAATCACAAGCTACACCGCACAAGCAGGAGTGGGTTTGAGTCCAGCCATGGTAAAAAACTACTATAGGGTTAGAAGAGGTAAAGAATCATTAATTTTTCATGCAGAACATAAAAATCTTGGGTATACTCAAGACGTTGATTCACAGTGTCATGATAACCAATATGCTTTTGACATTAGAACTTGTTGAGTTCTTTGTCCCATATTAATTTTGATATTTAACATTATTATTACCAATTCAATTTATCATGTTTTTAGAACACTAATGTCTTTATTACCCATACAACTTTAACATTTTAAGCACACATTGTCACGACACCGTTGAAAGAACTTGTGACCTCTTGTATCACCATCCCAAGTCAAATTGTCTATTTCAATTAATGATGTTCAAATATATTTACTTTCAAACCATTTTAGATGAAAATGATGCAAGATTGAAATATAGAAATAATAGAAAGTGAATGACATACAGCCCTATAAATAAATAAATACTCCGGAGTAGTATGAAACAATAAGATGATGGCATCTCTCCCACTGCTAAAATTTTGATTTGATTTCTAAACATATAAAGTTTACTCCGTATAATTTAATTTTACAATAATTTTAATAAAGATTTAATAGGAAAATAAATAATTGCAATGACATGTCACAAACTAAAAGTTAGGGAAACCAAGAGAGAATTATTTTAAGGCATGTTCTTAGAGAGGCTTTTTCAAATACAATAATTGTATCAAATAGGGTTTTTTGAGGGCTTGAACTCAGATATAAAGGTACTCCCATAGTTTGGGAAAAAGATTTATATTGATATTATGTTTAAAAATAAACTTGCAATTTATTTTCAGAGTATCAAACCTTTGATTCTCTTTACAATGGGACTAACACAATCCGTATTAATCTTCCAAAGGGAAGCCATTTCCAAACATATAATGGCACAGGAATCCTTAAAAAATACAGAGTATCTATACACAATGGTCAAAAGCTGTAGAAGGAGACAGGTAGCAAAGTGCGATGAGAAAAGCACAGTGCTGTTATGAACTTCCATTTGATCTATGCTTCGGAAACTAGAACACCCCTCACAAATGTCAAGAAGGGATTCACCATATGAAGCAACGCAATAATCAACCAAATATTCCATTTAAGGGGTAAACAAACATAGTTATTCCAATCCCCTCACTAAACAAACCGAATCAAATTAGGGTTTGTTCATAGATGATTAGATCAATGGGGGATTGGGCATATTGAATTGATTTATGCTTTCATTGACACGTAGATTGCACTGAATCAACAATGCACGCAACGCCTGAGAAAGCAACTCGATTCAAATTAATCATGACTCAGTGATGAATGAAAGAGAACCTGGATAACTATAGAGCTCAGATGATGAAAGCAAAAAATAAGAACAATTAGCAATGATTAAGGAGCAGATTAGCCAAAAAAATCTCAATCGTACGGCGTAGGGATAAGAGCTTTAATTAGATTAAACTCAGTTCAATGCATACATCGGCAGATAAAAAAGGTGAGAAAAAAATCAAATCGGAGAGAGTATTTGCGCGGAGATCTACTCAGAACCTGAGTTTGGAGAAGAACCACCTGTTCTTCCCAGATTTGAACCGCTCTTCTAGCCGAGACTTGGCCTCCTTGGCGGCGGTGACTCTCTTATGGCGCGACTGGAGGCAATCCGGAGTGATAACGTCCTTCAGATCCACGTCCAGAGTGTATCGCGTCGGCATAATGTGGTTGTAGTTGACGACCTTGACGAAAGCCTTCACGCGCGACTTCTTCGCCTGCTTCTTCGCCGAGTCCTTGCGGATGATCTTGCTCGGGTACTTGGAGATTCCGGCGACGAGGCAGTGGCCGTAGCGGCGCTCGTGAGTGCCTTCTTCAAAGGACTTCACGATGACCGCCTTCTTCCCGGCGTATCGGCCCTGGAGGATGATGACGGCCTTGTTCGGCTTCAGAAATTTCACCATTTTCAGTTGCGCCGCCGCGGGGCTGGGAGAGGTGAAACCCTAGTGTTCCTCCGGACGCTGGTTTATCAACTTTATAAAGGAAATCTCGCGCGGGCACTCGACTTCGTAATGGAACCCTGGATCATATTCGGGCTTTTTGACGGTCTTTATCCTACGCAAATTTGGCCTACTTCGCAGCCCAATAAGATCTCAAATCTCAACTTAATGAAGAAAATTAGCACGAAAAATGTTACTCCCCCTCGGGGAAAATCTTTCCATTATTTTTTTTATTCTGTAATATTTAAAATATTACAATTATTTTTATTTACTTTATTTATTATATTCCATCTATCTCATTTAATCTGCTCTATCCATTATTATCAGGAGTATTTTACTAAAATTCTATCTTTTTTCAACCCTGCTTAAAAATTACAAAAATCAATTTGGAAAGATATATAGCGAGTAGTATATAATGTGTATGTTGTCAGGCCATACAATGTGGATCACGCCCATCACTAACTACCACTCAGTTCCATGTTAGTTTTTCTCTTTCTTATCATTATTCATCCATGTTCATAGTGTGGATCATGCCCATCCTTTTTTCTTCTTTAAAACTCTTTTAATTTAAATTATTTAAACTTAAAATATAAAATAAAATTGTCAGTAATATTAAATTTTAAATTAAAATGACAAAAGAAAAAATACTTCACTAATATCAAAATTAAAATTGCACTCACATAATACATTGCGAATAAAAGTTGGAATAAAAAAGTATAATTATTTAAAAGGTACAAAAAGAGATTATTTGTCATTCGGAAGTGGTGAAGAAAAATTATATACATGTTCAACCAAATCGGCACAAAAATTTTAGTGTGTGTGTTCTGTAACTCCAATCTGTTGAGATCATGTTGCGTCTCATCAACACGTTCAACATTCTCATTGACATTGTTGAGATCGTATTCACACGTCGCATGTCATTCATATTCCGATAATGATGTTATGTAGGATGCAACAAGCGTGCATGACTATTCCAATTTTTTGTGTGCGAAAGTTCTTGTCGGGGTTTACACAACGCGTCATCTCTACTTGAGTACACTAAAAAGGCATTCCACGTGTGTTTTGTATCGTTCCACATGTGTTTTGTGTCGATTCTTGATATTTTTCAAATTTCTTTCCCTTTGAGTCATCACAGAATGGTATATATTTTACTATAGTCGCGTAGAGCCAGTTTTAAGCAAAATAATCCGCAAGTAACCAATCGTGGCCACCTACGCATTAGTTCGATTAAATTTAAAAATAATATTATAAAAAATAATGTAATATAATTCATAGTATGTACAACAACAAACCAGTTGAAAAAAAAAATTTAGTAATACCAATTCAGTCTCTATTTAGGGCTCTTCTTCTACGTGGTTTAGGTGTTTCTCGTTTTGTTGTTGTGGTGTAGAATTCGAGCTACCTGCATCATTGTATTCATAAAAAGAGTAACAACTTCATAGGAATTGGAAGACGTCCAAAGAAAGATGATTAAAACTTAGAATAGTAGTAGAAAAGAAGGATTGAAGATGTGAAGTTGAGATGTGCAACGATATGTTTAAATAATAAAAAAACAAAAAGGGAGGGAAACCAGCATGACACGAATGATGGCATTCAAACCCATCACAATCACGGGGGAGTGGGCAGTGTGCCCTCCCCATCACGCACCAAGGTGGCAGCCATATGATAAGCCCATTTTTGGTCTTATTTTATACTCCGTATCTCATAAAACAACGTTTTTGCGCATAAATAAAAATAAATCAAGAAATTTAAATAATTTTCCATACTTAAAATTTCATTTTACAAAATTGTTAATAAAAAAGATTGTTCAAAATTAAAATTTGTTTTTCCAAGCATATCATGATCAAATTAGAAGAAAAAATATTTCAAATTAAAGATCACAAGTCAAAAAGAGACTCAATCAAAATTTGGAGCAAAAAGATTGAAACAAAATGGCACAAGTGTAAAATTTGACCGAATCGCGGTCCAGGCCTCCGAGAGGCGTGCACTCATACTCCAGGCGCACGCCTATGCGTGTCGACGTTTGATATTCGGCGCAAAATTGCAACTTTTGGCAGAGAATTTGATCGGACAGCGGCCCAACCCCAAGCGCACGTCTAGACCTCCGACACACTAAAAATACTTCGTGTCTTAGGAATATGATTGTTTAGTTATTTTAGGGATGTGAATTGAAATAGAGTAATAGGTATGTAGGAAAAATAATTATGTTGGAATGTTAAATTTAATTAATTAAAATTTTAAGTTGCTAGTAATTGTTGTAATGTTCTAATTAATTAATCTAGCCAATTTGTTAATTAGTTCTTGAAAATTTATTATGTCCTTTGTTTATGAATGAGAAATATAATTTAGTCGACGTGGGCAACCTTTGTCCTGTCCCCTAGCCACTATAAATACTGATGTAAACTCTCAGTGTTGGGGATCCGAATTTCATCTCTCCAAACACATATTGTGTAATACCTCCATGCACTCTTCCCATAGTTAATAATAATTGGACTACAGGTGTTCCATTTACAGTTCTCCAGGTCAATCTCTGTTTACTTCATCTTTTTAGTTCTTAACCTTAGTAAATCACCCTAGACCCGGTTTAGAGCAGTTTACCCGGGTGGTAATTTACACCATCAGTATATAATTTGTTAAATTTGGACTTACGTGTAGAACGTGATGAGTAAAATAGAAGTTACAGTTCAATAAATAAATATAAAATTTTTAAAATATAATGATATATTTATTAAAACTACCTAAAACTAATTTTACGTGCCTGCGAAGTATAAGTGTGGCGAGAGGGGGGGGGGGGTTCTACCGTCGAACAGAAA